TTTATCAAGCTCAACAAATTGTGGTACGTATGTTTTGGTGTTTTCATTACTTCATCACTTTTTTTAATCTTATTCTAATTTTACTAGGGTTGTGTAGTTTGTATGAGGATCTAATTTTCTAAATATTTACTCTGCATTCAGTAACACATAATTATATAAAAATTCAGATAGTGAATCTGTAATGTGTTGTTACAATGAAAATGAAATTTAAAAAAAAAAAAACAGGACTCACGCTAGTTTAAATAGCAAGTTGCATAGAGTAAAAGAAGAAGTCTCAAGACAGAACATACCGGTATATTGGTATTTGCATCACTGCTAGCCTTTTCTTTCTCAGCAACAAAGCTTTTTGTTACATTAATATCTGCCAAACCATGAACTCTACCAGCTTGCCTATATCAAAATTTCAACGTTTAGCAAAGATCTGTGTACCAAGAACTAAGACAGAATCTAAAATAAAAGGCCCATGTTCATTGCCAGAAAAAAAATCACCTCACATGCCTTAGGCCATCAACACCATTCTTTCTAATTTGCTCCTCCTCCCCATTATTCAACAACTCAGAAATGCTAAACTGGTGCAATCTTCGGTATGTCTTCTGTTATTGCTAAAGCAATTCCATGGATTTCTTGTGCTCAACCTTTATCGGTTCTATCTCAATTTCACTTACTGCAAGATAATCTTGTTTCTGTTTTCATATAGAGAGCATAAAAACTGCAGTATTAAGCATTCTCGAATATAATCCTCAAAGTTTCATATTTGAAAGCATAAATAGCATTTGAAGGCATAAATGGCGAAAATAAAGACGACCAAAATACATGTGAAGAGCAATTCAATACCAAAATACCAACCTCAAATTCACTGAAACATCAAGTTTTAGAGTCATCAAAGCTTTTCCCTTGACCAAAATTATGAATAGTAAAAAATTAAACAATTAACAAGTCTTTGAAACAGTTAACAAGAATAGTAAGAGACCAATTCAACTTTATAAAAAAGGAGAAATTTTGATAGTGTAACAAACTTTAGCACTTCTAGGATTTTACACATCAATTCGTACTGACATTAAAGAAATGTCAACAATTAATTTGATATATACTATGCTCTGAATGTGCACAAGACATGTATGATATAGCCACCATTTAAGACTAGATAATCTAATTGAAATGATTAATACCACCTGATTCCAAGTAAATGAAAATATTAATATTATAACCATTCCATACATATTAAAACAATGTACCCAAATGTGATTTTCTGATACAATGATACTAAAAGCTAACACTATCAAAACAGGACTAAAACATAACACATTTCTACATATGGGATAGCTGTTTTTCCCCAATAAATATGAGTATATGACTCATTCATTGCTAAAAAAGAAAGCTTAACTATTTTTATTCTAAAAATAATTTTTTTAACTGTGATTCCTCATCCAAAATTGGATATAAACATCACACATGCACATTTGACATCCCTCCAAGTTGTCGTATTTTAATAATAGATGTACTCTAAAATTAAGACGCTACATTCCTAATGTACATTACACAACTTACCTCATGGAAATTAGACTTCTTGTTAGCTCTTCTGTGTGTAGAAACATTTACACTCTATATAGCTGATCAAACATCCTATGGACAATTACATTAGTCTTTATGACTTTATCACATATTCACATTTATCACTAGTTCACTACTGACTGTTGCTGATTTACTATGCAACTAAAATAAAAAACAAAAACTTATCAACATAACTGATAGAAGGAACCAAAAGAAATGCTGATAAGCAAAGGTAAATGGTTCAACCTCATTAGTTGATGAACAGAAAACATGTTAGCAGTTAGAGGAAGTAGCCAACATAGTACCTTATTAAAAGAAACAGATTCACCATTGGAGCTGAGACACCAAACTCTCAATTTCTTGTGCCCCTTTTCCTGAAAATGACCGAGTTGTAAGTGTAGAATTAAAGTGTAAGTCGAAAGTTTTTTTAAAAAATCAACATTTATGTGCCATTTGGATCTTGTTTACACACAGGGAAGGAGTGGGAGATGTGAAGTGGAGGAGAAATGGAGGCTGCCCAAGACAAGGTAGCCGCGGCAGAAGTTGCTCTGCAAAACTCCATTCTTCATCCAAGAATTGTTTGGCTTCTTTTAGCTCCTGACGACGACGGTAATGAGCTACTGGCGAGATAGATTCAGATCGGAGACATGGGGGAAGACGACCTAAGGCTGATCTAAGTCCGATCTAGTGGAGAATGGGAGGAAGAAGAAGGAACGTTGGAAATGAGTGTGTTCCAGCTAGCTCCTATGTCGGGATCAAGAATGTGGACGGTCTGTAATCTGGACTGGATGGATGGCTGTGTATATTTAATTAGGGGTAAAAGAGATATTTACAAATAGATTAGTATTTAATTAATATAAACGGTGGCTGTGTTTAGCCATTTTCTGGCTGCGTATAGAACGACCCTTAGTCCATCCCAATGTTTCGGATAACCTATTCCACACCCGACAACCCAGTACACCCTCCACCTCTCCTTCCCCTAGACCCTAGTATACCTGACAGTCCAGTCCAGTCAACAGCCCGTCACCCAGCCCACAGTCTACACAGCCTGCTAGCCCACCGTCTAAACCACCTGCCAGCACCCAACCAAATCCTTCACGTGCCCAAAATATCCATCCCATGAGAACTCGGGCCAAGGATGGTATCTATAAACCCAGAACCATTTTATCCCTTACCTCTGTGGAGTGTCCCCCTGATCCAACTTGTTTTTCTCAAGCAAATAAAAGTTTAAAATGGCGGGCGGCTATGGCCGAAGAATTTAATGCTCTCATCGCTAATAAGACTTGGGATTTTGGAATGTCGGGAAAATATCCCAGTAGGGTTGAATGATATGAAAATAGAAATGTGTAAAATATTATAAATAAACTGCCAAAGTGACTAAAAGAAATGATTATAGAGTTTGAGCTCAACCAATGCATGAAGCATGGTTAGAAAGTCATTATGTGTATATAAAATAAAACGGGTTTTTATTACAATAAGTCACTTATGCCTCTACAAGAGGATGATATAAGTTAAATACTGCAGCTGATATGTTTTAGAAACTACATGATACAGAACATGAGTTCCTCCTTTATGGCTCATATAGAGAGGACTTTGATGAAACGGGAATCATATTGATTAAGATTGACATCAAAGATTTATTTTTCCGAAACCATCGATTCATAATCCATGATAATAAAGTCTGGCCATACGAAATGTGATGGAACTGTAGTCCTAAAATTTAGTGAATTATGATCTATGTTTATGGATGAGAAAATATTTTGGGCCTGAAGTCCCACAAACCAAGATATTGTGTACGTGGGATGCCAATATTTGAGATTGAATGATTTTGAGATTACATTCCTCTTATAGTTTGAAGTTCTGTAAATGTGGCAGTTAATGAGAGAATCGGATGTCATGGTTATAATATCAATTGTGTGTCCCTGAAGGACAATGGTGAAAAGAAATATGTGCACACAACATGCAACATGAATATGAATTCTTTTATGTCTATAATAATTAGATATAGACATTATGCGTTTAATTATAGACTTGTCATTATTGTATCTGGAATTGTTTTGGAAAAGAATTTGGAATTGATTGAATAACTGCAACAATTGGAAATGCAGTAAAATTCTAAGCATAGTTGGAAATATAGAAAGAGATTCATGTGCCTAACCACAACCTGGGTGATCACATTAAGTCTTGATGACATGATTTATTTTTGTAGAAGAACTATGCTTGATTATCATGGTGCAAATTATTTTATTTAATACCATGATTGAATAAGGTGTTTGCACCATGTGAAAATTCACAACAAATCCTAAATAAGATATTTTTATCATTCGAATGCTCTTACTCCTGAGCAGACAATGAATCGTCTCCCTGGAATGTCATTTGTCCATGAAGTCATCATCTTTACTAGAATTCCACAACCGCAATTTTTATAAGCCATTTGCATTGTTCCCAAACCTGAAAGACAAAGAGAATAGATTACTTTTCGTGATGTTGTGAACACTATAGAAGATTAACAACAACCACAAACCAACGGAGTAGCCGCCGGAGGAAGAGCCAATATGTCGGAGGAAGAGAAAAGAAGAGAACCAACGGACCTTCACTGTGAAATCTGGGTTGATCTCATATTCTAGGGTTCGATATAAAGGGAGAAGGACGATGCTGATTGGAGGCCACCGTTTACCACACAAACACCTCATTTTTTGCCAAATTAGTAATCTGTTAGCCACCTAGGCATTTTAGCAGACCTAATAACCCAATGGACTAAATTAGAATTGATTTGGTGAACTGATGTACCTTTGGATTCCAATTGAACAATGATGTACTCTAGAAACAACTAATACATATGCTATTTTCCCACTGATACAATTGCACAATGATGTACTCTTTACCCACTTTACCAACACTTTTTTTAAAGGGCCAACACTTTTCTCTACAAACAACCGATAGAAAATGCTAATCCCTCCGTCCCATTAGGAAGTTTCAATTGCGGTTTACGATGGTTGACTGACGTTAAAGCAACTTAATCCCTGTTCACACTCTGATTATTTTTATTAAATAAAATTTACATATTCAAAAACTACATTAAAATCGCTACAAAGCCTGATTAAAAAAATGTAAGTTTGACAAAAAAAATGATATACTCCCTCCGTCCCGTTTTTAAGTTCTTACTTTGACCCTCACACATTTTTAGGAATTAAATTTGATTTTACTGTTTAGACACTGTTTAGACACTGTTTGGCACTGTTTGACACTGTTTTGATGTAGGAAAACTTTCCATTTAGGGAAATGAGAAGATAATTTTGGGACATCCCAAAAAGGAAAGCAGGAAGCTAATAGCGGGACATCGGGAGTATAAAGTAAAAAATTAAAAATGATTTAAGTTGACCATGTGAATAATAGACTGGAGGAGGGAGAGAGAGTATTTTCCTAGCTTTGCAGGCCTAATCGAACTCTTAACCGCCTTAGAAAATGGAACAAACCCCAATAGAAGAGGCGAAGAGGAGATGTCGAGCCCTAATAAGCCAGATAAAGAACACATCAAAATCCCCGTCATTGTGGAAGACGACCCTTTTGCGACTCGTCAACTCTGAGCTTTCTTTCCTCGACCGCCTGAACCACTCCTCCGTCTCACATTCCGTGCCTCTCAGCCTCAACATCGGCCACCTTGAAGCGGTCTGTTGCATTATCGGCCACCCATCTGTCACCTCCGTCGCGCGGGTCTGCAAATCCATTCCAACATCTCCTCCGCAGAATCGCAGAACGGGCGATTCTAGAAGATATATAGATATAGTGTGTTGTCACAATGGGAACCCTGTTTGGATCCTCGTCTCAGATCGAAATCCCAAGTACAATGACTTCAATGAATTGCGAGGTCGTGTTCTAGACGTTTTGAAGGCTGCTCGCGATTCGCCTTTAACTGTAAGGCCATCTTCTGTTATCCTTTCGTTTTTGAATGGCCTCCGAGATGACGTTATTCAGAAGCTCCGAGATGAATTTGAAACCACTGAATTTGCTGGGTTTGGGGACTCCTCATCATTTGAACATGAGCTCAAAGAGGAGGAAGGTGATTGGGTCAATGTGCTACCTTGCCGTTCTTTTGAAAGGGCCTGCTTTTTGGAGATAAGGATTGAGGCTTTTTACAGTAGTACGGAACTTGTTTATTCCAAGAGGGAAGTAAAAATTGAAAATTCCGTAGAGCATTTGGAAATGGATAAAAATACTGCTTTGAATTTAGGGGAATCGTTTTGTTCTCTTGTGTCAAGAATGAAGAGCTGGTCAGCTGGGGACATTGGAGGGAATGCTGAACTAGTTAACTTTGATACAACTGCTCTAGTTGCTGCCGTGTCAGGGATAAGCAATGGAGCTACCTTGAATGTTCCAGAGAGTGATTTGAGGGCTCGGTTCAAGGGAAATTATGATTTTGTGATAAATCAGGTTGGAATACTAAGAAACCTTTTATTTACGAAGTACTTGCCAAAGTTTCTGTATTTGTTGTATGTGAAGATACTCTGCATTCATGGTTCTATTATAATTGGTTGGGTTATGCTATTTGCCTGTCACCCTGTGCCTTTTGTTGCTTCAGTATTTTTAATGGTCCTAAAGTTTTTGTGTTGTTTACCTTCCTTCTCTTCCTCTCAATATGAACCTTGGCATATGTAGAAAAATTAAGGCTATGCTTGAAGTGTAGAAAACGGTAGGGAGTGGGAAAAAAGAACAAAGCTAAGGAAAACAAGCTGCCGGATTCATGTTGTGTTTTCAATCTTTGCACCCAACAGGTGGCTGCTGAAATGATGACTCCAATCCATGCAGTCATGTCTGATGCAATATCTGGAAAGAGAGGGATTGTTTGTGAAAGTGTTTTCTCAGAATTTCAGGAGATAGTATCAATGTGCGGTGGGCCAAGAGAAAAGTTAAGAGCTCAGCACCTTCTGGAGAAACTCAAGTGAGTTCCATTTGAGTAGCCTTAGGAGTTGTAATTATGTTTCTCTGATATTCTTCTGTTTAATGGCATAACTTTGTCTTGAAAAGCTATGGAATCTCATTTGTAACTCGAGCATTTGAGGTCACAATGTGTCTTGCTGATGAGTTTAAAAAATGTGATCAGGGTTGTTCCTGACAGCCCGTCGGCACGTGTGATGAGCCTTCCCACGACCAGAAAGTTGGCCTTGAAGAACAAAGTGGCTTTCGGGACAGGCGATCACTGGCACGCTCCAACCATAACTGCAAACATGGCTTTTGTAAGAGCAGTTTCACAAACTGGGATGTCTCTGTTTACCTTAGAGCACAGTCCTCGGGCACTAGTTGGCGACTGACTAATTAGGACTGCTGTAGCGCCTAACACATGTATATAAGTGTTGTCTTCCATCCTAAAACAAGGTTTTGGTCATTGTAATTTTGAAAACCAAGGCCTCTTTTAACGTGGTTTTGTTTCCTTCTCTTGCAGTTTTCAATTTTTTTTTAGCGAACAAACTTAATTCATAGAAATAATAATCAGGAGTACAATAATGATTTTTGGCCCTCAAGCACAGAAATAGAAGATCCAGATAGAACTTTAATGCATCACGTTTTTCGTTCTCTTTTTTAATTTAAGGGAAAATGGAAACTAATAATCCAACCTTTTAGCGATCTTATAATAGTCCCACCTTTTCGTTATTCAAGAATAATTTAACCTTTGCACTCCATTTTAATTCGCTGGTCCCTGATCGATTAATGACCTGCTATTCCAAGTTATTTTCTTATCTTTACAAAATATTATCTTTGTAAAAAATGAAATTTATGGTATAATGGTTTGCAAAGATAATAAAATAACTTGGAATAGGAGGTCATCAACCGGTCAGGGATCAGTGAATGAAGATGCGGTGCAAAGGTTGGATTATTCATGAATAACGAAAAGGTGGGACTATTGTAAGAAGACCGTTAAAAGGTTGGATTATTAGTTTCCATTTTCCCTAAATTTAATTGAAAGTTGGATCAAAGAAATTACGTCTGATAACATAAATTTAATTATCAAAGGAAGTACCTTAAGGAGTTAAGAAGTTGTTCTCTTCGCCTGATCTAAATGTTTCTGATCTGAATTTTTTAAGTTCTGATCTGATCTGAATGTTTCTGATCTGATCTGAATCCTTCTGATCTGATCTGAATCTTTCTGATCTGATCTGATTTGAATATTTCTATGATTATAATTATAATTATAATTATTATAATTGCAATTACAAATATAATTTAAATAAAATTATAATTATAATCGTAACTATAATAATAATAATAATAATTAAAATTAAATTTAAAATGAAAAAATTTATACTTATTACACTAATTATAAATATATATATATAATTATAATTGCAATTATAATTACAATATTTATCTCTATAATTGTAACTATAGTTATCAATATTATTATAATTACTCCGTAAAATAATTACAATAGTAATAATAATAATAATATTAATAATTATAATCATAAATTATAATTATAAGTATAATTATAATTATTATAATTACAATTAATAATAATTATAATTATATTAACATTAGTTATAATATTATAATATAATAATAGTAATATAAATACAATTAATATTATAATAATGATATTATTATATTCATATTATTATTACAATAATATAATAATAATATGATTATTATTATTATAATTAGTATTATATTATTATAATATTATATTATAATTATAATTATAATCATAATTATAATTATGATTGTAATTATAATTATAATTATTATAATTATAATTAATTACAATTATAATTATAAATATTTATAGATATAATTATAATAAATACAATTGATTATACTTATAATTATAAGAATTATAATTGTAATTATAATTATAATTACATATAATTATAATATAATATTATATTAACATTAATCATATTATTATATTGTAATAATAATAATAATAATAATGATGATAATGATGATGATGATGATGATGATAGTCTTCTTAATAATTACATTTATATTACTATTATTATATTAAAATATTATAACTATTATTAATATCTTATTTTTTTTTATCATATTATTATTAATATTATTAATAATAATTATATAATAATAATAATAATAATCATAATTGTAATAACAATATTAATAATAATAATTAATATAATAATAAAAGTGATAAATCATGTTTGAACTTTTCTGATCTGATCTGATCTGAATGTTTCTGATCTGGTCTGATCTGATCTGAATCTTTCTGATGTGATCTGATCTGAATCTTTCTGATCTGATCTGATCTGATCTGAATCTTTCTGATCTGATCTGATCTGAATTTTTCTGATCTGATCTGATCTGAATAAAATAAGAATAAGCAATAAGTAATAAGAATAAGACGAACAGAACAGCACCTAAGTCTATCATACGAAATTACGAAGTACTAGATTTTTCACCCGTGCTTCGCACGGGATGCAGTTATTATGTAATAAATTATCTATGAATATATATAGAAATATAATATTAAATGTTGTGATAAAGATAGAACAATGCATATATTATTTTTAACAAAAGTAAATGAAGATTAAAAAATCACAAATTATTATATACTCCCCCCGTCCCCTTTTAAATGTCCCATTTTACCATATTGGGATGTCCATATTTAATTGTCTCATACCTTATTTGGTAAAGTTTGTGTGGCTCAAAATCATTCTTACTTTATTCTTAATTTATCAATTAATATTAACCACACAAACTCACTTTTCTTAAAACTCGTGTCACCCTCTTCCAGGACATTTAAAAGGGGACAGAGGGAGTACTTCTTTGTACAACATTTAAAGCTTTTTTTAGCTGGTTTTCTATACCGAAAAAAAAACACCACCAACTATTTGCTATACAGATTTTAAAATTTTCTCATAAATAACACGTTGCTCATCATTCATATCAACCATCAAGCTTTCGTATTCCTCGGCCAAGTGACGCTTATCTTATCTCATTTTCTCATTAATGAGAAATCTTGTCATCTTTCATCAAAGGCATGTATGATTCAAGGGGCAATGACATTCCAAAAAAATCGTGTAATGATCTTCATCGTAGCTGGAGAAATTTCTCTATCTCCACTAAGTATCATTTCTCTCTCTCTTCATAATCCATTTCATACTCTACGGAAAAGATTAAAGTCATATTGATTATGTGACTTACACTAAAACCTACCTATTAAATCATAAAAAGGTCCAACTCCAAGAGAAATAGTTTTAAGAGAAATCGCCCTAAATAGGAGTAAAACGTTTTGAAATTCCAAAATAGGACTATCATGTTTTTTTATTCCTTGAATAGGAGTAATCTGCCAAGTTTGGAAAAAATGTCATGTTTAAAGCCCAGTAATGCCAAACTTGGCAGAAATTTACTCTTATTCAAGGAATAAAAAACATGATAGTCCTATTTTGGAATTTCAAAACATTTTACTCATAATTAGGGAACTCTCCCTAGTTTTAATAGACTATATCAAAACACGCATGTGGATCTTTTTAGTGTCCTCATATTTAACAACAATATATCTTTTGAAAAATATTGCCAACATCTTACCCACACCAAATCCACAATTGAAATGCGCCCGCAATAAGTAGAGTGGCAAACACCTCTAATAATTTTTAAAAATAATGGTTATATATTATATATATTATATATGTGTGTGTAAGTCTTACTTATTTTTACGTTTAAATACATCACGTGCCCGTATTTTATTTTATTTTTTATTTTAAATATCACAATATATTTTTCGTATTCACATTTTCACATACTCCGTATCAATTCTACATAACATTTGAGTGTTAATGTGTTAGGGGTAGGTCCAGATTTTATATTTTTATATATGCAATATATGTAATTACATGAATGAATTAACGTATAAAAAATCTGTGTATTATATACATGTGTTTCATTTATGATAAGAGTCTTTTTCATATTTTTCCTTACTTCAAAAATTTACTTCGTCTACCCCAATAAAGATATTCACTTGTTTATTTTGAACATCTCATTTAAAAGTTCATAATTTGGTTTTAGGAAATGATTGACTCTATCAAAAGATTTAAAATACAAAACTGAATTAACACTTCATATGTGAATAGCAAAATGATCCACAATCATATTAAGGCAAATGAAAATATACATTTTGGTACAAATGAGAGTGAAGAAAATGTAGCTCATAATGGCTACATTTTCACTGTAGCCAATTTTTAAAATAAACAAATATTAACGTAAAAGAACAGGAAATATATAGGATGTTTTTACTTGGAATGAAATTTTCTGGTCTAGTCTGATCTGGTGTGATCTGAACTGGTTTGGTAAATGTATTTTATAAATGTCCAAGTCTGGTCTGATTTGATCTGCTTTGGGATTGAAAACAATCCAAGTAAACATCCATACTCTTGCAACATAATGCATCAAACTCAAAAAATCGGAAAAGTAAAACTAATTGAAGCATATTCCTAAGGGGCTGGTGCGACACTGCAACCCAACATTTCCACATAACATATTTCCTGCAAGTTAAAGGAATAAGAAATATCAAAGAAAGGAAATTGAGATGCAGAATGAATAGGATTTGCATAATAAAAGAAAAATTAGCAGGTCTAAAATAGAGGTGAAAGTGTAAAACAGCCCTAAGTCGCAATAAAGAATAAAATTTTAAATAAAAAACATTCAAGTGGTGATGAAGTTCAAAGGGACACGATGAGATTTAAAGCAAAGAGAACAAATCCAAGAATAGAAAACTGAGATAGTTAAAGTGTGAGAGGAAATTGAAATAATAAAATGGGGGAGATAACTCAAATTAGAGTGAGGCTTTGAGAACTGCAATCAATTACACACTAATATGAACTATGTCGTCCTTATAGTACATCTAAATGTGAATATAGAAAGTGAATGAAATATTGATAACATACCAAGCCAAAGACACAATCATATACTCGGTAACTTTAAAATTACAGTTTGGGCATCTTGGTATCATCTATTACTCTTCCCAAATTTAAATTATTGAAACATTTGATTCAAAGTGACTCATAGAGAGGAAAGGATATCATTGTTCTATGGTCTCCAATAAGTCTTCCAAGGTTTCATTTCAATGAAATGATCTGAATATCCACACGGAGCTTGAATTTCTACCAACACATCTCAGCAAGTCAATGTCATTCAGTGTCTATATGAATATTACAGATCAAATATGTTTACTACTGAATGTAATTCTTCGCTGCTGGAGCAAATTTTATAAGACATTTTAATTATAATAAAATTCATATCTAACTGATTTATTAATTCGAAAATCCTTCCAAAGTGCTGATATGATTTAAACCCAAAAAATAAAAGAAATACTTGATGCTAAAAGAAAATCCTTCCAACGCGCCTAAGGCTGATATAGAACCTTAGTCCTTTCGATATCATCAATACTCAAGCAATTACAAACCCAAAACAGAAGCTGAAGCAGTTACCTCTTTTCCTAAGCTAAGGGTCTGCTTGCAAGAATTTAAAAAAAGCGCTTTTCGTCTTTTGGCTTAA